CTCCACTGAGGAAGTTTCTTGCTAATGTCTACATTGTGAACAGCTAATAGGCTACACTTAAAAAGGAAGGAGTAGAGAGGGAAGCATACAGATTAGAAAATTATAGCACAGACCTCATTGAATTTAAATTATAAAAAATCATGCCAATTATGATAATATGATTTTTGGAGATTAATTTTTGTTATTTTTAGTTATATGGACATATGGGACAGGGGCAAGAAAGGGTATGTGCACATGAATGCAGGAGCCTGCAGAGGCCATGGGCTGTGGATCCCATGTAGCTGGAGTTACAGGTGGTTGTGAGCTGCCTGTTGTGTGTTTTCGGACCTGGGTCCTCTTCAAGCTGTCTCTGTGGTGGGCTGCTGAAGTACTGAGTGAACATACTGTTCACACAAGCACATCCATGTCAAGATCCCTCGTGCCTTAGATCCATGGGAAAGGCAAGCCCTTCCCCGGGAAGGCTCTAAGGGGTGGCAAGGTCTTCTTCCTTGGTCCACGTGCAAAGAAGTTCTACCACAGCATATTTCTCCCAGAGGTCTCTGGGTCAGACTGCTTGCCTACAGAGAACCACACTAATGAGCTCACTCACACCTTGTTTGTGTTGTGTTTAATAAACTCATTCGCGTTTCCAGGCTGCTGCTGGTGTATCAGTTGGTCAATCCCAGTCTTTCTGTATGTGTGTCTGTCATTTCTTCATTCTCTTTCTCCCAAGTTATGTCACATCCAAAGCCATGAAGGTCATGGTAATCTTATTAGTACAAGATAATAAAAAATTGTAGTTGATGGAATTTAATATAAAGTAACATTTTTTTTGGGGGGGTTGATATGTGTGCATGCTGTGTGTATACATACTCCCATGCAGAGGACAGAGGCTGCTGTCAGGGTCTCTCACTGAACCTACAGCTCACTGATTTGGCAAGGCTGGCTGGCCAGTGAGTCTTGGGGATCAATTTGTCTCTGCTTCTCCAGAACAGAAACAAGGTACATGATGTATGCAGGGTTTTACATGTGTGCTCAGAATTTGAGTTCATGTCATTAGGCTTGAGTGGCAAGCACTTTATTGATAACTATCTCCTGAACTGGTAACTATTAATTTCAAAAAAAATTTTTAAAGATTACTTTCTTGCTGGGTGTTGGTGGCACACGCCTTTAATCCCAGCACTTGGGAGGCAGAGGCAGGTGGATCTCTGTGAGTTCGAGGCCAGCCTGGTCTACAGAACGAGTTCCAGGACAGGCTTCAAAATAATACAGATAAACCCTGTCTTGAAAAACCCCCAAATAAATAAATAAATAATAAAAATAAAAAAGATTTATTTTCTTATTTTATGTATATGGCTGTTATATGTTGGGCACCACCACACACATTCTTTGTGTCTGAGAAGGTCATAAGAGGATGTTAGATCCCCTGGAACTGTAGTTATGGATGGCTATAAGCTAGCATGCAGGTGCTGGGATCTGAACCTTCGAAAGAGTAGCCGGAGCTCTTAACTGCGGAGCCATCTCTCCAGCCCACTATTTACTTTTTGGAATGAGCGCAGTGCCATCAGTACATGTGAAGTGGTCCGCTGCCCAGACCCTGCTTCAAAATATTACAATAGAGAGGGAACGTTGGAGAGGGTACAGCTAGATTATGATTGGTGACGAATTGTTGGCATGGGTTATGGGTACTTGGGAGCTGCACATTTGAAAATTTCCACATCAAAAGATCTAAAAATATATGTCCAGAATGTGACATGTCCCTACTATTTCTAACATTCTTGTTTTCTCTTTTCAGCCTTGTCCAAGTCACTGCTGCCTCCCACCTGCTCTCAATCTCTCTTCACCTGCTCTCCTGCCCTGTCCTTCCTGGTGTCTGTCCGCTGTACTGCAGGGAGAATGGTTTCTCTCGAAAGCATCAGATGCTCTCCCTTTCTGCGCAAGCCCTGTAAAGGGCCTCCCCTCGTTTGGGGCTTTTGGTACCTCCCTGACCATGCCCCTTCCCCCAGTCCCTCCTCAGCTTCACCACAGCCCTACGTGTCCGAAGAGAAGGAGCCAATGCTGTGCCAAGGTCCACAGAGACCTGCTATACGTTCTTTGCCTGCCTGTCCAGCTGGCTTACCCAAACACAGACTTTTGGAACAGTTTACATCCACCTGCGGCGCCTCTGTTCCGATCACACCAACATGGACCTGACCCTTAAGGTGGGGGCCTCCCTCAGAACTTCTTTCTCCTCTGGTTTTTGAACCCTTTGGAGCTCAGGCTCAATTTCCTAATTCTCTGTTGCTCCATCAGCCCCATTCATGAGACTTGAGTACTGGAACATACATGTTCCCTTTTATATCTTTGTGGCCTGTGGCTTGATAAACTCAACAATACTAAGAATTAAGCATATTAAGGTATAGATGGATTTTTCTTTGGGCCACCAGCTCACAAACAATGGTACAGAGACTTAATATTAATGATGAAAATGTGGCCTTAGCTTAGGCTTGTACCATTAGCTCTTATAATTTAACCTGTTTCTATTAATCTAAATTTTATCATGTGCCTTTTTTTAAAACCTTTTTTCATTCTGTATGTCCTCCTCCCATACCTAGACTGTTCCTCCTACTTTCTCTTTCTCTGCCCAGAAGTCCCGCCTATATCTTCTGCCTAGCCATTGGCTGTTCAGCTCTTTATTATACCAATCACAGCAATATATCTTCACACAGTGTACAAATATACTACAACATTAAGGCCTACCTGTAATCACAGCATGTGGGGACTGAACAGAGGAGGATCTTGGACTTGAGGCAAGCCTGGGCCACTTAGCCAGACTGTGTTTAAAACATGCACACGCACGCATGCACAAATCAAAACCAAATAACAGCCAGAACTCTATGTGTTAGCATTGATCCAGCTTTTAAGATCTCTATCTACAAAAGTTATTTATGTTAGACAAAAAAAAGTTATGCCTATAATTACTCAGTAGGCATAACTTTTATCAGAAGACTAACCTTGATTTAGATAGAAATGTTTAATGGAAACATTAAAAAATATTTGTGTGTGTGTGTGTGTGTGTGTGTGTTCTGCCACAGCTCATGCGTGGAGGTCTGAGGGCAACCTGCAGGAGACAGTTCTCTCCTTCCACCTTGTGGGCCTCAGGGATTAAATCCAGTTGTTGGACTTGGTTGCAGGCACTTTCATGAGCTGAGCCATCTCCTTGGCCCACAATAACATTTAATATAGAATCAATACCTTTGCTATCACTAAATAATAAATATAGCATTTCTAATAAAACTAGGTTTTCCATTCGTCATCTATAATTGGAGACATCATTGCATGCCAACATACCTGCTCAGTTATATTTCTTTGAAGAATTAGGGCCAAGGGTGCAAGCTAGGGAGGGAAAAGGAAACGGCAATAGGTGACCAGGGTTTGGTGAGAGGGAGGGAAAAGTCCTCAGATATGGACAGAATCCAAACTGGAAGTGCTCTTGCCTCTGCAAAGAGAGTGATGGGCAACAGAGTGAAGCCATACCACTGAAGTGGTGACTGAAATATGAGCTTTAAGAAATACATACCAACAGTGTTGACTCACTTGACTATTTTTAAATGCATTTAATATACTTTCTTTCTTTTTCTTTTCTTTTCTTTTCTTTTTTTTTTTTTTTTTTTTTTTCTTTTTTTGGTTTTTCCAGACAGGGTTTCTCTGTGGCTTTGGAAGCTGTCCTGGAACTAGCTCATGTAGACCAGGCTGGTCTCAAACAATGAGAGTACTTTCTTAATTTCTATCGGCTCTTACCTTTTGAGCCAGGATCTCTCTAAATAGCCCTGGCTGCCTTGGAAGTCTAACTGGTCTTTAACTCACCTAAATCCACCTGCCTCTGCCTCCCTGCTAGGATAAAAGGTATGCACCATCCTGCCTGGCTACAAAGCTCTTTCACTATTTAAATGTTCTACTAGATAATACAGTTGGTTTTTAGCAGGTAAGTTATCAATTTGGGGGTAAATCTGGTTTGATTCCCCTTAAAATAGAAAACAGATGCTTCAAGGAGCCACTGGTGTTTTTAAAAATCTGAATCTCTTTGCTTGTGTGGGTGGATTATATTTTCTGACCCTCTGAACCCCCTTTTCCCATTTCCCTTTATGACTGACTGCATTTGCCACAAGACAATCAGCTAATGTTAGAAATATAGTCTCTGACAATGAAACATTTTTCTTTATGTGCAAGGTTGCTGGCTGATATCAGCATGAAATTATAACTTCAGTCCACAGTCTACAAAAACAGGCAAGGTAGACACTCTGGAAGCAAGTCTTATGGGGGCAATAACCCTAGGCCATAAGAGCAACTAAAGACATATGGCACCAAGCTGGGGACAGCCTCCTTCGGCCCACTCCACAAAAGCCTCTAGAGCATTCCAAAGCTGCCTGACTTTGTCTTGCCCCCTCAATCTCCAGGTTACTATAAGCATTTTTATTGAAAGGGCTGAAGAAGTTCAAACATACAGACTTTGGAATCAGGCAAACCATACCCTGTCTAGCTGTGGGACTGTCTCAGATTCACCACAAAACAGGTAATGGGGTTCTCTTCAGAACTAGGGGCTGATACTGAATGCCTCGACCCAAAGACAGTGCTAAGTGCCTAGGATTCAGTGGATATAATGTGCTCTCTGTGAGACTAGAGTACTTTCAAGTGAGTATTTCACTCTGAGGTACTATCATCACACTAGGCTCACCCCAACAGTCAGCAGAGCGTTCAATGTCTCTAATTCAGTTTCTATGTTGGTTTGTCCACCCTTGCTGGCCTGGAACTCATTATGTAGACCAGCTGGCTTCAAACTCAGAGAGCTGCATGCCTCTGCCCCCTGATTGCTGGGATTAAAGGCATTTAATATAACAGTTTATAAGTCCTAAGCATGTAGGTTCCTGAATCTAAGCAAGGAAACAATTATGTGGAATGAGTATGGTGTTTAACAAAGCCATGAGTCATAAAGATTAAATGGCTGCACAAAAGAAATAACACTAAGACATTAAAAAAGAGACTTAATGTAGGAATAAGCTATTTTAATCAAGCAAAACAAATTTATATTTATTATTTCTAAAAATAAAATTAAACCTTTCCAATCCTTAACATCTGCATTTAATAATATCTTCTAACCAAAATACAGATGCTAAAACAGCAAATTACAATATATCTTGTACAGCATACAGTATGTTCACTGTTGACACTTTAATTCTACTTGGTTGTTATGTACTCGATGCATACTTAAACACCACTCATAACATTTTCACAATCAACAACAACAACAAAAAAATGTAACCAGTTGTCTTAAAATGGCTCTGCTATAAATTGTATAGAATATACAGAATTACAAAGTCAAGTATTTTATCAAAATATACACCCATCCCTGAAACTAACACAAGCTATCAACATTTTAAATGAATAATACAATTATAGAAAATATTTGCAAAATTATTTTTATGTATAAATATTCTGCCATATTTACTTTGGTCTAGAATAATCAGCATACAAGTCCACTTAAAAAATATCCACATATAACGCTGGGAGACATCGGTACATATAATTTTATAATTTTAGTTAAATCAAAACAACTTAAATACATAACTGATTGCTTTATAATCATAACTGAGATAAAACAAATTAGTGGATCACAGGATTGCTTGTCATCTAATTATTAATTCAAAAGTGATTTTTGTAAGCCCTTTGTGACTACCTCCTTAACAAAACACACGTGAATGGTGTGGGTGTACATATATACAACGAACAAAATAAAGATGAATTTGCTTGTATTTCCCCATTTTCCTCTAGTATATAATACTGTATGTAGGTGAAAGTAGATGAATAAATGATAAATGCAGATAAGATACAATATTGGAGTTGCTTAACAACTACAGTACAAAAAGGTCACCTTGAATCATGTCCTTTTTCCTGGGTGTTTAAATGTCTTCTTGCCTACCCCAGACCACACTAAGTCTTCATGGAAATACCACTTGTTGCAACCAACTGGAGTCCTCTGAACTACTTCTTCATAATGACAACTTTTCAGCCTTGGATTTCCATCTACCAAATCCAGTGAACAGGAATGGCCGCTGACCACTCTCAAACTGATCTGGTTTGCTCACACTGGTGACTGAAGGAAGGGCAGGGATGTGCTCACTCTCCCTCTTATCCTGGCAGTTTTAACAGTAAGACTCATGAGTTTCAGCTCGCCAGGGTCCTAGTTCACATGAAAGGATATCCTGAAGGGCAAATAGACTTCTGAGGGCGATGCTGACAGTTTGCATCAATATAAAAAACGACTTAGAAGTGTGAGACTTTACGGAGGGAGCTAGATGTCTGCAAATGTAAAGACAGAGCTTCAAAGTCATGTTAGTAAGGGCAGAACCCTGTCCCTCCACATCCTATCTCCCGATCCCTCAAAAACAACGCTGCTGTTTGAGGAAAGGAAGGTCATCACTTCCCTTGTGTCATCAGTGGGTGGGGGTGAGGTTTCTGTTGTCCTTTTAGCTAGAATGTACCTGTGGGCTGCATTATCTCCAAGAAGGTGTACACTTGAGTTAGGCTTTCTGCTGTTTCCAAGTGTCTGTAACTTCGTTACCACAGAGGTATGTCTTGTACTCAACCTCTTGCATAATTCTTCAGTAGAATGGGAGACATCAGGATTATTTGACTCCTTAAGTCTGTGTGGAATAGCCCCCAACATCCATGGCCTTGGGATGACTGGAAGACTGCAGAGAGTTCAGAAGAATTCCGCCATTCTTCATTCTCTGAGGCGAGGCCATTGCAAAGGATTATACGACGTAGGTAATCTCAGGTAAGTTGTGGGAAGGCTCTCCCTTTAGGTAAGGCATGACTTAGGTTTTGTGTGACGTGAGTAGACCAGTTCTAGGAACAGCCCAGCCATACTTTAAGAGAACAGCACAGTATTCCATTGAAAAGCACACGCAAGTTCATTGGTCAGATTCCAAACGCTCTACTGATTTCCACACCAGTCCTCATTAACTGCAGGCCTATTGCTCATTATTCTCTAAGAGGGACATGGACAGTTAAAAGCTATAGTGATTCATATATGTATTTTACAAGGTTTATGTTGCAGAAAAGATGATGTATGAATGTCCTACTTTAGGCTACCCATTACATGTTTTCAGTTATATTGTTAAGTATTTTGTAAATACCCATTAGTTTAAACAAAGGTTAATAGTGCAGAAACTGGATGGGAATAAATACTGTCATAGCTCATTTAACATTTAGCACATCTCAGAGATGCCATTTTCACGATTCTGACCCTTACTTTCTCCAGTGACTAATATCAGTTCAGCAGTCCTCATTAGCGCTCACCAGAAAGTTTTAAATTAGGCTAAAACTCAGCTGCTTTTTCTCACTGTTCAAAATACCACAGCTAAGAACTTTATGAGCCGTCACAAAATACTTGGGTCCTTAGAGAATTCAGCTATTTTGTTTATATGCACTCTGTGTGAAGTGAATGATAAAACCCAAAGTAGGTGTTAGGATCCTTTTTTTTTTTTTTTTCTTTCTTCTTTTCTTTCTTTCTTTTTTTTTTTTCTTTTTTCTTTTTTTGAGTTTACACAAATAAGAATTAACTTGCCCCCACTCCTTTGTGACTATTAAGTGAACAAAACTAAACTTTAAAAAAAAAGCTTAAAAAAAAAACCCCCAAAACTCACAAACAACTTTTTGAAGACTTTTCTAACTGTTGTCACTGGACACTATTAGCAAAGGTTTGTATATCATCCTTTTGGTCACTGTCTTCTGAATCAGTGCAAAGTTGACTCTCCAAGAGATCGGAATTTTCATCTGTTTTTTCCTGCTTAGTTAAGGTCTTGAATAAATGTTTCTTTTGGTGCATTCTGAGGGCAGCAGCTGTTTTGCATATTTTGGGGCACTGGAAGCAAGCAAAGCCTTTCCCATCATGCTCCCGAACATGCCTCCGCTCATGATTCCTTTTTGTGGAAAGATACAAAAAACCCTGAAAGCAGAACTCACAGTGGTAACGTTTTTCCCCCGTGTGGATTCTTTCATGGATTTTGAGAGACTCGTTCAATGTGAATGCCTTGTTACAATACTGACAGATGAACTCCTTCACACCCAGGTGGATGCGCTCGTGTTTCTGTAAGTTCCCTTGCACTGAGAAGCACCGCCCACAGGTCTTGCACTGGTATGGCTTCTCTCCAGTATGACATCTCATGTGCATCTTGAGCGTGGAGGGGCTCTGGAACTGCTTTTCGCATAGCTCGCAGATGTAAGGCTTCAACGTGAGATGTTGGTGGGGCTTGCCTTCGGCTTCCATCCCCGCTGCTCTGTCACCATCACAGAGCTGACACTGTAGCTTGGGCATCTCTTTATTTTCTTCTTCTTCAAGAGTCTTCTCTGGAGGTGGCTTCACCTCTGCACGATCCAGTTCCGCTGGGTATCTGCACCTACCGCCGGGGCTTCGGCCCCCGAGCTCCTTCCGCCACTTGACTTTTCTCATTTTTCTCAACTGTTTGGATTTCTTCTTGGGCTTATAGTTGTAGTATGGGCGCCACGGCTTATCAGTGGAATCCTGGTCACTCGCCTCATCAAATGCTTCACTCATCTCTACACATTCAGCCTGGCAAAGCCCAAGGGGGCTGTCCCCATGGGTTTCTGGGTCACTCTCCCGAGGCAATGTCTCCTCCTGCATTTGATACTTGGGTTTCCTCCCTCTTTTGTAAAACAGCTTCGACCCAAGGATATGCCTTTTCACAATGGCTTCATTCCCAATTTTCACTGTTATCTGGCAAAGGGGCGCCACACTGCTATTTGTGGAGGTGCCAGGCAGAGCAGGTTTTGCAATGTAAGTTTCAGTTTTACTGGTTCCTTCAACAGCATTTGTGGTTTTGTCCAGAGCCTCTCCATGGTCAGCAATGTGTTTCGCCTCCTCTGTTATTTCTCCCTTGTTACACGGAATAGCTTTCTTTTTCTCCTTAATGCTTCTGGGTCTGCTTCCAAGTTTACTGGCTTTATCTGCCTCAGGGTTGCTATCCTCTTTCAGGGATGGACTGAGGACTGGTTGTGAAGGGGCCTTGTCATTGCTGCTGGCCAGGGCAGCAACTGTATTGCTGTGCTTAATCACTGATGAAAACTGGCTGCTATGCACAATGACGGACGGCACTGTGCCACCGAAGCTGATCACAGAGGCTGACTGCTCACCGCCTCCACCCACAGGTGCGCCATGCGTGGGCTCTGCCTGGAGGTTGGCACTGACTGCGGAAGACACTGGCACCTCAGTTGAATCAAAGTTGTTGATGAGATCAGTTTTCAGTTTCTCCTTTTTCCATTTGATGCCTTCTGCATTTTTTACTTTGGCAGAAGTGGGTGTGCCCTGATGTGAGGGTGTTTCCAATGGGATGGCAGGGTGGCTGGTCAAGGTGTTTCTGCCATCTTGGAAGTTCAATGTGGGCATTTCAGAGCTCAGTGAATTTGGAACAACAAACGTATCTGGTGTAGACTCACTCCTTTGACCATTTTCTCGAGAACTTTCATAGGAAGTATTCCGGAAGCTCTTATAAGGTGCTCTCTTGCACCTCATAGGCAAGAGCCTGTACAGTTTGTATGGATAGACAGTAGGCTTTAAGCCTCCATTTGAAGTTTTTTTATTGATGGAGAGTCTGTGATCTATGGCATGAAAAGACTTCTGATGGTTTTTCAGTATGTAGTAGGTCATAAACGTTTCAAGACAAAATATGCATTGGTACCGTCTCTCTCCAGTATGCCAGATCTCATGTCGTGTCCTGTACTCGGCCAGTGCAAAGACCTTGTTGCAGTAATGGCAAGGGTATGTTCTTCTCCACGAGTGAACGTTTGCATGCCTTCGGAGACTGGATAAAGTCACATAACTACGTTTACACACAATGCAACTGTAGAGCATCTGCCCGTTCACAAATTTCACTATGTGGTCTGTGTCTGGCAAGGTACTCCCAGCGCTGGAAAGTTCACCAATCCTATTTTCTGGTACTAAGGATTCTGGACTTGTAAATGTACTTCCATTTTGTCCAATAGTGGGATAGTTTTCTAAAAACTGTTGGTTTCCTCCTGGGATGGGCACGTGACTTGACCTCATACAGATGTGCTCGTGCCGATCTAACCTGTTGAGGGTGGTGAACTGCTTGTTGCAGTATTTGCACACTAAAGGCTCCTGGGTTGGCTTGTGTAGCTGCATGTGGGCACTGAGCAGCGTGCTGCTGTCAAAGGATTTGGAACAACAGCTGCAATTATAGACAAGGGGCGGGGCCTCTGCTGCTGTTGGGCCAGGAATATCAGAGGGTTGGTTTTCCTCTTCTCTGGGAAAATGGACATCTCCTTCCTTGCTGGGAGCTTTTGAGTGTGACAGAGTCGGAGCTGGCTGTGGACTTCTTTCTTGACTAACCTCTGGGCTGGTTACTGGAAGCAGTGGTGTCTTTTCTGGGGTTGAGTCAGAATCCTGGGGTTGGGTCTTTGGCTTTCGGCATGGCTTTACTTTTGTTGCAGGAGCTTCGCCATCTTCTTTTCCTGTTTTACCAGATAAACTACTGTCAGGTTCCCGTACAGGCTGACTCCTGTAAGCCTCGGTGATGGAAGAAACGGCATATGAGTGTTCAGCAAGTGTGCGGACAGGCTCTGCCTCGTGGCAGACATTGGTCCTCTCCTGGCAGAGGCTGGCTGTTCTCATCGAATCAGACACTTTTTTGAAGCTTGCCCTCAAGTCCAGTGGAGAAAACATGTTATTACTATTTTCCGTTTCAATGATGGAAAATGCATTTGTGATCCTTGGCCCATTAGTAACGGTTGGTTCTTCCTGCCTTTTCTCATTTTTTTCCTCTTTAACCACGCCCTTTTCAGTAATGCAGACTACATAGGGACCTGGGGAATTTGAGAAGCTGCGGTCACTAAGGTCTTCCAAGAATGATATTCCCAGCTTTTTCCCTGCAGCTGCAAGATCAGTGACAGTTTCCTGCCTCTTGACCACAACAGTGGAGCTGTAGATATAATTAAGTATTTCTGTAAACACTTCAGCTTTCAGATCATCCAGCTCCAGGACGTGACTAGAAATACAGATTGTATGGCTCCAAAATATATTTTTGAAATAAAGGCTTGAGGCAGCCAAGACATTGCTGTGAGCTTTAAACTTGGTGTCTTCCACAATGATGGTGACATCACATAAAATGCCCCGAATCCGCTGCTCATTTAAGATGGAGAGCACCGTGTCACTGTGAAAGTCATCCTTGAGGTCCCTGGAGAGGGACATGACTGTCATCTGAAACAAGAAACAAATGGTCAGGGGGCTTCCATCAGTGACTTGCTCATCCCTAGGCTATTTGCTACTTTTGGGGAAAACTGTTTCTTTACACATGAAAACTCCAACTTTTATCTCATCCTGTTGTTTCTCCTGAGACTTGGAAGTCAACATTAGAAGCCCAACCTTCTCACCCCAGACTGTTTCTCATGCCATTGCTAGTAGCTGTAGTTGGAAATCCTCCCAGGACTCCCTCCCCATCTTCTTGGCAGTCTTGGCTATGTGTGTGTGTGTGTCCAAATATGGGGAGGGCAAGCAGAAAGGGTCTCCCCACTCAAAGCTGCCGTGCTCTGAGACTCGAGACCTGATGGCATCTCGGTCTTTTAGAAGCAACCTCTATTTATGTGACTTTCCCCTAAGACAGGTCTTACTATTTAGCCCCAACTAGCTTGCAGCTTATTATCTAGTCAAATCTGGCCTCGAATTCAGAGATCTACCTGCCTCTGCCTTCTTTGAAATCCCCTCCCTGACAGAGGGCCTGGGGCTTAAAGCCAGGCTATCACACATGCTAGGTGAATCACATCCTAAGTCCTGCCAACTTGGAACTAGACATGTAGGCCAGACTAGCACTGAATTCACACAGATAGGCCTGCCTCTGCTTCCTGAGTACTGGGAATAAGGGCATACATCAACACACCCGGCTATATTGGATGGTGTGTGTGTGTGTGTGTGTGTGTGTGTGTGTGTGTGTGTGTGTGTGTAAGGAGTAGGTTTTTCCGCATTTACAGAATGACATCTCCCATCATGTGTGTTGCCAAGGACTGGACCCCTGGCCTCTACATGCTGGTCAAAGGCTTTACCATTGAGCCATACTCCCCAGCCTTAATAATCTGATCCAAACATGATTCATAATGCAGGAATAATTAATTTTGAAAAGTTTCTTGTAAGTGAGTGGGACCTTTATGTGAACTGTCTGCTCAGAGAAGCAGCAGGAACGGAAGAAGCCATTCTACCTCATTCCTCTGATGACCTTCTCTTCTGAGTGGCAGGGTACGACTGAGTCTGACCAGGACACCTGCCTTCTCTCCACATGTGGCCTGCGGAGAACTCTTTGCTTTCCCTGCTGTTAGAACCAGACTAGACTAGAGTTTTTTAAAATGAAGGCGAACAAAGATGACAAGACACTAAACCAGGAAAGTGTGTTTCTCAGTCTATGCTAATGAGTCTCATCACAGCTTCCTCCATTAGAACCACTGAAAGGCATGGTGCTCTTGGATGGTTCAAGGATGGTATGCAAGCTGCATGCATAACTCATTCTCTTTAGTTAGACTAGCTGGTGTTATGAAAAATGTTCAAGAAACAACCCTTCAAAGGTTTCAGTTGTCTTGGAAGAGTGTGGCAGAGCAGGGCAGCTCACAGGTAGTGGCAGGAGGAGGAAGGAGGAAAGGGAGGAGAAAGGGAGGGTAAGAGAGGGAGAAGAGAAAGTGAAGGAGCTCTGGCTAGCTGCTCCCCACCCCCTGCTTTTATTCTATTCAAGTCCCCAGCCTGGTGCTGCCCACATTCAGGTGGGTCATCCGCCCTTATCCTTTCTGATACATACCGGGCCATGCACAAATCTCCTCTGTACTTCTCAACCTAATCAAGCTGACAATTAAGACAGACCACTCATTCTTATACCACTGTGTGGGTGGTGGTGGCTGAATGATCTTGTCATTCTCTCTATGTTTTACTGTGAACCTGGGATGACCAGAGCCTACTGTCACCCTAGTGGCCAAAGTAGCAACTTTCACATTTATGCACAGTAACAAATACATGACCTAAGACACAAATGAGATGAATACCCCGAATTCATGTGATAAATCTGTTCCGCTCTAGAACTTTCCACTTATAGAGAGAATGCAGGCAGAAACTCACAGTTCTCAGTCTCTGCTTATTCATCATCCTTGCATCTAAACTGAAACAATACCCTGCTCTGGTTGACAAGACACACAACCACACATCCTCTATTTCACCATCCTGTGTCATCAGTATGTGCAATCTCCAGAAAGCCATACAACTCAGGGTCTCTCTAACTGCCCGTGGCAATGTCTTCCAAGTTCTGAAGTATGCATTTAGTTAGACAGACCAAACATCCTCACAAAAACTCCTCTTAATCTTTTTGTAAAGGGTCTGTTATAAACTGGGCCCCATTGTGCTATTTAGCTTTCTTTACACAGCATCATTTGATAAATTCTTGTATCGCTTTTGGTCATGGGGAAAGGGCACCTTCCTCTGACTCCTTCAGTTTTCACAAGGAAACTACATACGTGCTCACCAGCTTTAGTTCTTGAAACAAGGAAGCATAGGCTTTTGGTCATTTGCTGCAGCCACTTCTAGCTGGGGTTTCTGATGTGACCATTGTTTCAGTTTCTTTATTTAACATTAGTTTTTCTACTTTGCTTTGTCTTGCCTCTAACTTAATCTTTTATAAGTCTTTCCTGGAATTGTGGGGGATTGTTTCTACCAGTGAAAACTGAGAGCGGAAATATATCCTATAGGATCAACTTTCTCCACAGCTAAGTATTCTTACCCTGTTTAATGTCTCGGCACACACACACACACACACACACAATGACAGGTGTCTTCTTGAAATGCAGGAAGGATTAGACAGTATTGGAGTTGTCAGTGGCTTGGCAAGGACTGGAACCATGTAGTCATGTCCTCTGCATAAACATACTGCTGCCTGAGCATTCATGGCCAAGCAGCTTTTCTTGGTAACTGGTTAGAACACTGATAAGAACAAGGAATGTGATGATTACTATCTCCAACTTGACAATCTGCAGTCACCTGGGAGGCCACCTCTGGGCATGCCTGTGGAAGGTTATCTCAACTGTACTGAGAGTGGGAGACCTGGCCATTGTGGGTAGAACCACTCTTTGGCTGTGTGAGTGGAGAAATGCATCTCAGAGCAGCATGCATTCATCATCTTCTGCTTTCTGATCATGGATGCAACGTGACAGCTGCTTCAAGCTCCAATGCCTTTCCATAGCCTTCATGATGGAGTGACTCCTTGAACTGGGAGCTGAAATGAATCCTTTTTCCCTTAAGCTGCCTTTTTAAAATAAATAAATAAATAAATAAATAAATAAATAAATAAATAAATAGCCATGTTATTCTCTGTGTGTGATGTGGAGGGAGGGTGATTTATGTGTGGTAGTGGGCATGTGGAAGTCAGAGGACACCTTTGTGGACTCTGGTCTCTCCAAGCATCACTACACAGGTTGCAGAGACTGAACTCGGGTCAGTAGGCTTGTAGGGTAAATGCCTTTGTTCCACGAGCCACCTCACCAGCCCTTAAGTGTCTTTGTCACAATAGCAGCAGCAAAAAAAAAAAAAAAAAAAAAAAAAAAAGGGGGGTGGGTGGGTGGAGGAAGCCATTCCTGCCAACATCGGCGGTCTCTGACATTAGAAATGGAAGCACTTCCCAGCAAAGCCTCCACATGTCTCCTCAGAGCGTAACTTAAAACAGAAGTCAGAGGAGCCTCTGCAGATGGAAGGGCCCACAATAGATCTTGGAACAAAAAGTCTAAGTCAGAAAGAAGATGAGGCTTAATTTACACGTACTTTCTAAAATGTTTTCTAAAAACAGTTTCAAGCAACAAGTTCACTATTCTTAGCTGTGCTACTGAGAAAAACTAAAGAAGCACAAAAAGGCTAAAAAAGGGTGGCTGGCTCAGCAGTAAAGAGCACTGGCTGCCTTTCCAGCGAATCCATGTTTGATTCCCAGCACCCACATGGCAGCTCACAACTGTCTGTAACTGTAGTTCTGGGGAACTTGACACCCTGTTCATGACACACATGTGGTACTCAGGCATAATGCAGGCGAAGCACTCACACATATAAAATAAAAATATATTTTAAAAGGCTAATACAAATGGTCTAGATATAAAAAATTTGGTGAGCCAATATTAAAACAATCTATAATTAGATAACTGTTAACACTTGGTCTGTGTTACAGTTTTCCCGAGTCTGTATTGTTTAAACTTTACTTATTATCATTTCGTACTGTGTATATGTTGTTTGGGTGTGGGAGGAGGCATCCGTGTGTATCAGCGTACACATGGAGGCAGGAGGACAATAAGGGAGTCATTTCTTCTCGTCACTCTTACGTGGGCTCCAGGGATTGAACTCAGGTCATCAGGCTTGCCTAACAAGTGCCTTTACCTGTTGAGCCATCTGAATTTTAACCAGAATAGCTTTTGAAAGCCCTTTTAAATACATATATGTATATAGACACACGTACGTGTGAATACATGATGCATATATGAACATAATACACGTCTATTTATAAGTACAGATAGAGAAGTAGGGTGAATAATTCAGCACCCAAAACAGGAACACTAGAGAGATGAAGGAAGTGTAATGAATAACTATGCCAAGGAAAGAGCACATACTGGGACTAGATCCCAAGAAGGTGAATGGTCATCCTATATTCACATACATAAATACGTGAACAGAATATTCACATGTCTTGTTTGAGTATGTAGTTGTCACAGGGAAATTCTAGTTAGTCAGCATATTTGGACTTTTCAGCTGGCTTTGTACCCTGCCCCACTCCAGCTCTACAGAAACAAACACATATACATATTGTACAAACACGGGCTCGTAAGTTAGATACTTCCAGTGACTAACATGACTTTGCAAGGCCGGGTGTCTTGGTGCACACCTGTAATCCCAGCACTTGGGAGGCTGAGGCAAGAAGACCACAAATTCAAGGCTAGTCTGGGCTATAGGAGAGACACCATTTAAAAATAGAGCCAGCTGGTGGTGGGGCACACCTTTAATCCCAGCACTCAGGAGGCAGAGGCACGTAGATTTTTGTGAGTTTGAGGCCAGCCTAGTCTACAAAGTGAATTCCAGAACAGCCAGGGCTGTTACACTGAGAAACCCTGTCTCACCCCAACCCCCTGCAAAAGGTAGATAAAATGAATAAGTAAATACAAATAATAAAATTATTCTGTTATACTTGCTTTCACAATTAA